TCGACATTTTGGGTAAATTGGAGCTATGACTGGAGACGTCTGGGGGTGGGCAATCGACCGGTGGTGGTGCGCGATCTTAGGTGTCGTCAGAGGTGGAGATTTCGACAGAAGCAGTTTTCGCAAGTTCAATTTTTTAAGATGATTTTTGATTGATTTTGGTATATGTTTGTGTAGTGGTTTGTGTTGTTATTGAAGAAGGGATTGAGAGCTTCATTGTTTTGGCAGAAGAGGGTTGGAAAGTGGAAATTGGTTGTTTCCCGTGTTTTCAAGTTTTTCGTGGGTTTGGCTTGAAAACGTCCAAAATGATGTTTTTTTCGTTTTGTGTTTTGTATACAAATTTTTTTTTCGTTTTCAAAAACGCGTTTTTGAAAATAAGAAAGAGAACGCGTTTTCACTCTTTTGGAAAATAGAAAACGACCCAAAACGGCCAAAGAGAACGGCCCCTAAAGCTTCTCAATTCAAAAACATGGTACAGATAATGCTTTAGTTCAAGCTAAATTTCCAGTCGGTCATCTTCATCTTTCTTTTCCTGTTGCAGGAGTGTTTTTCTTCAATTTGTGTTTGGCATTTCCGTCTCCAACTCTCTTGTGAAGTTTTTCCAACAATTTGTGCTTTAATTTTCTTGTGGCATAAACAAGAATTGCCTTATTGCTCATAGAAATCCAACTTAAACAGCCCTTTCTAAATTTGGACAATCACATAGTCCAACTTATTTTATGAGCAGATGATGAAGAGGAAGTGCTCAAAATTGCATCAAATTCCTTATCAGGCTTGCAAAATTCCATCTTATGATCGTATCTGAAGCTGATTTCTTGCACCTCTTCGTTTTGCTTAATCATTTTCTTACTTTTTATCCAAAACCAGACCCTTAACCATTTTGAGCTCTTATTTTTTTCTTCTCTGCCAGTGCACGGAGGCGTAGTCCATGGTAGTGCCAGGCTTTGCACCGCTGGTGGAGGACTTGGAGTGGGATGACCTTATTTTTCGGTGGTTTTCTCGGCTTTCTCGATTGCATTTCCCATTTGAAAGGGATCCCCGATGAAGTAATTTCAGTACTTTGTAAAGGACCAGATCGTTCTGTAGAAGAGACTCTTAACAGAATTCTACTGAGGATTAAAGTAACCTTCTTCTAGTGCAAAAGCCTTCTTGTGGTGTCTGCAGTAATATATCTTTGTGTTTCCTTCATACTGTACGTTAGCAATTCATAAGAAAAATGATTTAATTAATTTGAAAATTTATGATATATATCGAGTTTTTTTCAACACGAACCAGTATGGCAGTGATGTAATGAATCCCTTTGAACCCTTGAAGATTCAGAAATGTGGCCATTTGATGAAGACAACGATAAAGATGATGAAAAACCTGAATTCACTGCAAATTCTTCATCAGAATTACCAAACCTGGATGTTGCAAAACGAACAAGATACCAGAATAGTTCTGATACCAATGGTTGTGGAACAAACCACCGGATTGAGATGTTGAAGTTATATGACAAATAATAATGAATTATTTGATCAAACAAAAGAACAAAGAAGACAAGAATATNATTTGATATAAAACCAACCTCGAGATTGAGATGTTGAAATTATATAGCACAATAATGAAGTATTTGATCACAAGCAAAAGAATAAAAGAAGACAAGAATATGGAAGAGGAATTAAGAGATTTTATTGACTCAAGAATAATGGAGAAGAGAAAAAATTACAATTGATCATATAATTCTAGTAATCTATTTTCTCACGTTATAAAATTGTATAGAAGAACCTAATATTTATAGGGAATAAGTAGGGAATGTCCAAACTCACCTAGTAGAATTGTTGATGAAGTAGGATACCATAAAATTGAGTTCAAAATAAATTTCAACTCCCAATGGTCTTCCAAACTAAAACGTCAACATGACATAAGACTCCAATAATATTCCAAATTTAAATTGTTCATGATGTGCGATTCAGTTAGAATTCTTCAATTATT